ACCTTATAGGGCAGTTTTTATGCTCGGGCTTGGTTAATCTATAGTTTCCTGGAAGGAGGGGGGAATAGCAGGTGGGAGTCAGGGCATGCCAGGGCGTGTTTAGGCATGTCTAAAGCAGCAGCCAAGCATTTTACAGAAGCTAAAAGAGCAATTAGTGGGGGTCTGGAGGGATTGGTGGGTAGCGGGTGAATGAAGAGGGTCTCAGGGTTCTACACCTTCAGGAGGAGAATGGAAGGGAGAAGGAAAAAAGCAACAAAGCCAGAGCCATGCTGGTTGAGAGTCTGCATGGCCCTCAGACACGTGGCAGAGAGAAGGAAGCTTTAATGAAAAAGTAAAGAAATACAAGGTGCTAGGGCAGCCCAAAGCATTAGGGAAAGCATGCTTAAAAAAGGGAAAAAGAAAAGGAGAGATTATGCTTTTCTGAAGAATTTTTTAAAAGTGGGCATCAGAAAAGCAGGCAGTCTTACACAGAGAGCCACGCCTGCAGTCTTTCCTGAAGCTCTGCACTAGGAGGCGGGATTCCAGGCAGTTCACTGTCTCATTAACACACTAGGTATTCCATCTATTTAGCATGACTTAAGGTGAACCCACCTTCCTAAGGGGCGGTCCTGTGACCATGTGGTTGACCAGTGAAACTGGGTTTCCAGCAGGGCGGTCCTGTGACCATGTGGTTGACCAGTGAAACTGGGTTTCCGGCAGATAGACTCGATTTTATTTTTGACCAATTAATCTTATGGGACTTTTTTGCCACTCTACCAGTGTTAAAGTACTGTGGGCAAGGTGCTTGCTATTTGTGCTTGCCTGCTTAGTTTCAAAGCAGGAGAGGATATACAGAAACATATGCTGGTACCTCTACTGTAATTCCTCTCTCTTCTGGAGTTTAATCTGTATAGTTTTTTAATTTTATCAAGAAACTATTTTTTCCTTGTAATTAAACCAAATCAAAGTTATTTCATGTTTGGGAATATTTGATATGTTCAATTAGAAAGTGGAATCTCCAGTTTTTTTAAGAAATTATGTAAACCCATTATCAAACCATATCCCACATATAAAGCAGACAAATAGACATCTCTTTTTAAACTTTTGGTTGATTGGGTCACTTGAGAAATTCTAATTTCTTCATCTCTATTAAAAAAAAAAATCCTTCCAGGTTTTATGGCATCTTATTTTGTAGATACAAAGAAAGGAAATTTTCTGATTAGAAGCTTAATCCTGGCCTGCTGAAAGGTTTCTTACATACCAAAAAGTTTGTCATGTTTACCTTGTGTTAAAGTATAAAGGCAGCTTGATTCTATTGAGAGAAAAGACTTTTGGCTTCAGCAGTTTATCAGTAGATTGATCTCTCTCCTAACCTGTGCTCCTCTTCTCTGTTCCTTCTCTTCCTTCCCCCATAGCAGAGCATATCCACCACCCCATGGGAGAGTCTTGGAATCTGACCGTTTTCTGTTGCCCTCCTTTTCTTCCCTTATTTTCCTGTCTTTGATAGCCACGCTTTTCCCCTGTATACCTGGTTTACTTTCAAGAAAATGTACTTTGGGGGCTGGTAAGATGACTCAGCAGTTAAGAGCTCATAGTGCTCTTGCAAAGGACCCAGGTTCAATTCCTAGCAACTGTATCAGGCAACTCACAGTGACCTGTAATTCCAGTTTAGAGAGACCCAACACCTCTGACTTCCCTGAACAATGGCATTTATGTGCATACATATACACACAAGCACACACACACAATTAAAAATTTTAAAAAGTCAACATACTTTTCTAATATGATCTATCAGCAGGTATTTCCACTCTTCACCTAGTATACTATGACAGAGTAAGTGCATTTCATAATGAAAATGATGCAAAAGTGCTTACTTAACAGGTGTTTCTATAGTGTGAAATATTCTCTGTCAAGGTCAAATGCTAGTTGTATTTGTTATATATACCTTCACATCAGTGTTAGTGTGACATTTTAGTAACGTAAAATTTTATTATATATAAGTTCAGGAATATATTTATTTCCCTTTACATCTTGGTCTTTCTATGACAGTGAATAAATATAGTTAATATTGCTAGGCTTGACCAGTTGCCATTAGAATTTATAGTAAGAAAATAGGATTTTAAGGCTGTTTGGTGGTACACACCTGTCATCCTAGTACTCAGGAAGCTGAAGCAGAAGGATCCTTAGTTGGGGCCAGCTTAAACTGTGTATCAAGTTACAGACCAGCCTGAGCTATACAGTAGACCTTGTCTCAAAAAAATATATATATATTATATATATTATATATAATATATATATATATTATATATATATGTGTGTGTGTAAGAGGGGAATATTTGTCCAATTTAACTCTGGTCTGAGAAGTGGCCTTTTTAAAAAGGAAGAGCTATAATATATAGAGAGAGAATAGGATTTTAAACACAATTAACTCATGAATCAGCCTTATCAATTCACTGAACTTTGAACTTTAGTACTGATTATACTTATGTTGTTTCCTGTTCTCTAGACTTTAGGGGTTTGGGATTTTAAATATTCTGTTGATATAGTGAAATCTCATGCAATAAGTTGGACAAGGCTAATTTGGGGGAGGTTATTTCTAGACAGGAAGAAACTACACATATTCTGGTAGATTGTAATCATTTTCCAGAAAAATTGAATACTCTTTAATAAAACTATAAATTCTCATACTCCAAATCCTAGGAAATTGTTTTCTTTAGAAACTCCTAATGAATAAATAATCATCAACAATATCAGTTGTCCTCTTTGATTTTTATACTTATTTGTTGAGAGTGGAAGTCAGAGGACAACTTGCAGGAGTTAGTTCTTTCTTACCATGTGGGTCCTGGAGGTTGAACTCGGGCTGTCAAGCCTTGCAGCAAGCACCTTTACCTACTGAGCCACCACTGGCTCCTACTTTCCTAAAGAGAGAAAGATTATGATGCACTTACATACTGGATGCTGCCATATAGTTTATAAAATGGATGTAGCTAATTGACATCGTCAATGTGAATAAACTGAAAAGATAATGTTGAGCTTAGGAAAGGAATTTATAGCATGATGTCATTTATATAAAGTTGAGGAGCTATGGAACTACTCTAATAATATATGGCTAGTAAATAAAATATACTTAGTGCCTGAGGAGAATAAAAATTCAATTTTTGATAATGAATACTTCTGAGAAGAAAGAAAAGGGAATAAGACCAGAAAGGCATCCCAACTGTAGCTGTAATGTTATATTGCTTTATTTTAAAAGATAGTAAGCAGGGGCTGGAGAGATGGCTCAGCAGTTAAGAGCACTGGCTGCTCTTGCAGAAGAGCCAAATTTAATTCCCAGTACCCACACGGTAGATCCAATGCCCTCTTCTGGTTTCCACTAGCACAACACTGGTACACTTATAACATGTAGGCAAAATGCTTGTACACGTAAAATTAAAATAATAATAAATAAATAATAAAATATTTTTTAAAAAGTATTAAGCATCTGGTGTTTCATTTTTGCTAAAGCTGGTAGACCTTAAGTATTTGTTTTAGATGAATATATTTTATTTTCTATTTATGTTTTTTTATATCTATGAGTGTTTTACCTGAGTGTATGTAAATGGACCACATGTGAGGCCAGAAGAGAGCATCAGATCCCCTGGAACTGGAGTTACAGATGGTGGTTAGCTACCATGTGGGTGCTGAGAACCTCTGCAATAGCAGCCAGTGCTCTTAACCACTGGCCATCTCTCCAGCCCCTTATTTTCTATTTTTAATTTTAGCCTAAGGTATATTTTAAATGCTTTCTCAGTGCTTTCAAACCATATAGAACCTTCAGAATACTGCTATTCTGAATGCAAAAGCATAACTGTCACTTCATAGGGGATAAGAGATAGTTTATTCTGGAGTCAAATATGAATGGCCATGGCCCAGGAACACAGATTCAGGTTACTCCAAATTCCATGTTCCAGTGTAGAAGCAGTTTTGTGAAGTTTTTATAGTAACAGAACAAAGAAAAGTCATAAATCAAGACACTGAAAAGTGTACAGTACACTGGTGGAAACATTAAGTAGGCAGATACAGGAAAAGAGAAATCTCAGCTATAGGCCTCACATGCTATCTGATGGCTATGGCAAAATAAAAACAGCCAGATTCTCAACATCCATTTTAGCCAAAAGGATACCTGAACTGCTCCAAGAACCTGTTCTTTCAGAATTCTTTCAGAACTGTGCTCTCAAAGGCCTTCTTTCTTTTATTGAAACAGTATATCCAGCATGAAATGGGGAAGTAAAAATTGAACCCTTATCTTATCAAAGGATTTTGTGCTTTCTGACCCCTACTAACTTAGAACAGCACCCATAAACAAAGCAGATGTATTAATTCAATCTGTTTTCAACATAAATGGGATGATGTATTAACTTCCAACAAATACTGTGCTTGCAGTGCTTGCTTGATATGCAAAACATGTACACACTTCTTGCATTGTTCCCGGCCAAAGGTAAAGAAGGGTTCAGGCTGTATGTTTAAGGTTACCAGAGGAGCTCACAGCCTAGTCAGCTTATTTACATTACCAGTAAATTAAGATAAGGTTAACTTTTGGTTGCAAGATTAAGTAAAAGTCATTTGCTCAGAGCATGTCCATATTGTAAAAGTCACTCCCACAAAACTTGTGCTTGCTTCATAAACAACCACAAGTTTTTAGTCACTTTCAAATCTTTCTACTCAACCCTGACCTAGAATCTATTTAGGTTTGTATGTCTTCTCAACAACTGAATTTAGCAAGGTAACATTTTGTAGTTGGAAAGCACAAGACAAAATAACAAAGTAGAAGATGGATCTGGGAGGAGTTAGGGGGTAAGAGGGTCATTATGAGAAAAATACATTTTATGCGTGTATGGAATTCTCAAAGAATTAAAAAAATAACAAAAAAATGATGACTTTGCATATTGAACTTTTTGTAATCTTTGCAGACTGCCGTACTGTGATGACACTGTTCCTGTAACACTTGAACCACACACAGAGCTTTTTGGTCCTCAGAAGAAAACAGAAGTCCAAAGAGACATTGGAGTTTGGTGTCCACAGCATCTTAAGACTTCTGGAGAACAAGGCTATAAGTTTTTGGGAAATGACCAGTGTGCCCCTCCGTGCCCCAACATGTATTTTAAAAGCAATGAGCTAGACTTTGCAAAAAGTTTCATTGGAATAGTTTCAATATTTTGTCTTTGTGCAACTCTGTTCACATTTCTTACTTTTTTAATTGATGTTAAAAGATTCAGATACCCAGAGAGACCAATTATCTATTACTCTGTCTGTTACAGCATCGTCTCTCTTATGTACTTTGTCGGATTTCTGTTAGGCAATAGCACAGCCTGCAATAAGGCAGATGAGAAGCTAGAGCTGAGCGATACGGTTGTTCTAGGATCTCATAATAAGGCTTGCAGTGTGGTGTTTATGTTTTTGTATTTTTTCACAATGGCTGGCACTGTGTGGTGGGTAATTCTGACTATTACTTGGTTCTTAGCTGCAGGAAGAAAGTGGAGTTGTGAAGCCATTGAACAAAAAGCAGTGTGGTTTCATGCTGTTGCCTGGGGAATTCCTGGTTTTCTGACTGTCATGCTGCTTGCTATGAACAAAGTTGAGGGAGACAACATTAGTGGTGTTTGCTTCGTCGGCCTTTATGACCTGGATGCTTCTCGCTACTTTGTCCTTTTGCCACTGTGCCTCTGTGTGTTTGTTGGGCTGTCTCTTCTTTTAGCTGGCATTATTTCCTTAAATCACGTTCGGCAAGTTATACAACATGATGGTCGGAACCAAGAGAAGCTAAAGAAATTTATGATTCGCATTGGAGTCTTCAGTGGCCTGTATCTGGTGCCCTTAGTGACACTTCTTGGTTGTTACATCTATGAGCTAGTGAACAGGATTGCCTGGGAGATAACCTGGGTTGCTGATCATTGTCATCAGTACCACATCCCATGTCCTTATCAGGTAAGAGCCATCATTTGGATTGTGCCACTGTTTCCCCCTTTTTTTCTTATTTTTGGTCTTTTTTGTCTTTTTGAGACAGGGTCTCCCTGCAGCCCTAGCTGTCTAGAACTCACTGTGTAGACTAAGCTGGTCTCGATCTTACAGAGATCCGCCTGCCTCTGCCTCCTGAGTGCTGGAATTAAAGGTATGTGCGACCATGCCTGGCCACTGTTTACTTTTAATTGAGGAAGTGTTCCTGGAAATGCTTGTAGTATTCATGGACAGAAAATGAGATTTCACATGAGAAAACCAACAGACACAGGGAGGAAAGTGTCCATTCTTCAAGTTGTAGCTCTAGTTACAATAACAAAGTGCTTCCTATAATTATTACTTAAACATCAAATTGAAAATATGTAAATTGGGTTGGGTTGTTAAAACAGATTAAAAGTAATGAAGAACAGACCTTATCACAGAGAAAAAAAGAGGCAACTTCTGAACTGGGAACTGTTTTTACTTCTTCAACTACCAGGAAAACCCCATATTTGAGTACAAATTTGTGCATAGCATATGCTTCTAAAAATATTATTTGATTTTTGCCCAACCCATCCTGTTATTCTTAAATGAGGAGAAGCACTCAATTGAAAATACACTTCATGTGTTTCTGATACCTTGATTAGAATAAGAATGTGGTTTTTAAGATTAAAACTGTAAATTTCTGAAAACATAAAAAGGATTTGTTCTCTTAAACATTTTAGTTTATTTTTAAAATACTTTTTTATTTTATTTTATGAGTATGAGTGTATTGCCTGCATGTATGTAAGTGTACCCTTGTCGTGCAATGCCTGCAGAGGTCAAAAAAGGATATTGAATCTCCTAGAACTGAGTTACAGATGGTTGTTAGGCACATGTGGGTGCTGGGACTTGAACTCGGGTCTTCTGTGAGAGCAGCTAGTGCTCTTAACTGCTGAGCCATCTCTCCAGCCCCTTAAAAATATTTTATTTATTTTTATTGTTTGTGTATGAGTGTTTTGCCTACATGCGAATAAATGTACCACATGCATGCAGTGTCCACAGAGGTCAGAAGAGGGCATTTGATCCCCTGGAACTGGAATACAGATAGTTGTTAGTCACCATGTGGGTGATGGGAACAGAACTTTGTAAGAGCAGCAGGTGCTCTTTACTACTGAGCCAACTCTCCAGCCCTATTACTTGAATTTTTAAATTAAAAAAAAAAAACTTTTAAAATAATTTTTGGCGGTATACAGTATGCCCTTGTACTAAAGAGACTGAGACAGGAGGATTGTCAAGTTTGAAACCAGCCTGGACAGCTTAGCAACAAAGACCCTGTCTCAAATAAGTTAAATACGTAAATATATAAATAAAATAAAATAGATTTTATCTGACTAGGGATATAGCTAAGTGTTAGAACACTTTCCTAGTATGCACAAGGCCTTGGGTTCTGTCTTAGCATGGCAAAAATAATAATAAGACAATGGTAATAAGAATAGATATTGTGCATTATTCTTAAATGTTGATATATGATATTGACTAACAATATTGAAAATGAGTGCTGTTGTTACAGTATATCAAAATTACATGCCAGGATATTTAACTCAGACATGCAACTTTGTTTCCTTTTTCCTCCCTCCCCTCCTTTATCTCCCTTCCTTTTTCCTTTCCATTCTCTTCAGCCCCTCCTAAAAAATTATTTTAAATAATAATAATAATAATCACTGCAGCATTATTTGCAATTGGAAGTAGGTTGGACATAGCCTAAATATCTTTAAATAGGGCAAATTGAATAACTTACAGTTCATCCACATAATAGAGTAAGTCTGTAAAAAGAAAGAAAAGCTCTATTTGTGCTTATATAGACTGGGCTCCCAGACATATTAGTAAGTGCAAAAAACAAGATATAATGCAAAATATTTAATATTTTTACACTTGAACATTTAAAAATAGTATTAGAAGATTTA